TACGTCGACAGAACCATTACTCCGCAAACCCGCGGAGAAGCCTGAGGACCCAGCCGTGGCCGCGGCCAAGATCGGTATGTTTGGCCCGATGACTCGGAGCACCCACAGCTTCTATCCCGCGCGGCTGCTTTGCAAACGGCTGAATGTCAAGCCACCGGATCATGTGCAGATGGACCCGGGAGAGCAGCCAGGGGGTCCCGAGGCTGGTATTGGCAATCGATTCCAGTCTGCTGGATACCAGACAGCATCCGGACCTAAAGAGCTCGTATCGAAGGATGTGATGAACCAGCTCATGCTCGAAACTAGCGGTAGAGCACTGACAGCACGATCCGACACTGCCACGCCTGAACGGGCGATAGCGCCGGAAGTCGGGAAGGAGGTGGTGATTGAACCCGAACGCAACGAAGCACTTGAGGCTGAGAGGCCCGGCGAGGCGGTCTTCAAGGCGATCTTTGGTAGCGACGATGAGGATGAGGAAGAGTGATTCATATCGGTCACTCATTTTTACCAGAAGTGAGACTTTAATATGGTAACCAAGATGTTTATAAGCACAGCTTGAACGCCTTTACGCAAAGCTTGAGATACCTAGTAGACGACAGTGGAAATGCAACAAAAATGAGTCTCGAACAAATCTTAGGCTACTCATCCTTGATCCTCTGCATGTAACACAGTAGCTAAGTGCACGATGATCAGACGAGCGGTTACACCGCAGAATGTTACAACACGGCTTGGATGATTGCGATTATTTTGCTCTATCATGATAGATTGAACCTGGGCAGATTGAGGGTGGTAATCTACGCCATCTTTTGTGTGTCCTGGTTAATATCAAGTAGGCAAGGATTCGGGAATGCTGCAATGACAGTGCTATTAATAGAACAGGACGATGTCAGATAACCAACAGTTGATTTATTCCACGGTTCTGTTACTGCCAGACGGTGCACCGTAAATGCTCTGAATGAATTGCCGGATGTAGATAGGTGGTTTGCAGACAAGCTTTTGATGACCACATCTCCGTACCAGTAGACAATAAGAACAGCCAGCTGCCAACTGACTCCTCCTCGCCTACATTTTCCTCCTTCTCATGCCAATGCACGACTGACGGGGATCAGTTCCATCATCATCTCTGCTTTGTCCCCCTCTTTAGCTTCAACCCATCCTAGTGAATAATACATCTTGTTCGCGTGCTTTGATTCTCTAATTTCTTGAACCAGAGCTACTCCGTATTTGTTGGTAACCCGCCGAGTCGTCATCGCCACTACGAACTCAACAGCGAGTCTTACGTTGCCCGCCCCGTTCTCCGATCGACTTACGAGCCATAACCATCGATCTATCTGACAATGAACCTGGTTGCCCAACCAATACGGAATATCAACATCATTAGCTGCTGATTCTCATTCTTATTGGTGTCATATTTTCCCGCATTCTTTTCCCCTCCTCTTCTTCCTCTTATCTATTGCCTGGGAGGTATCTCCGTCCTGCTTCTTTCCTTCTCTACAGAGAGGATCTATCTACTATTTACTTTGTCTGTCTGATGGAGTCGTACCGTCTACCGCTTCAGTATGGTGAGTAAACATGGAGCTTCTTTTCTTTTCTTTCTTTTCTTTTTTTCCACCTTAGCTTTGTCTCTGTTGCTGTTTGTCACTTTTCTATCGCAGTTTTGTTCTTGGGGATCTGTAGACGTCAAAGTACCTGCCGCTTGTAATTCATTGCACTTCTCTTTTCTCAGTAGCTCTCAATTTCGTCGCTCTCGATTACCCTTGTCCTCGCGATATTGCTAGAAGCACGCCGTCTGATTTCACCATCTCCAGGGTTCTTGCTTGTCCTTCCTGTCGCGTGACAACGGCGATCCCTCCCATGCGACCCAAGTAACGGAGGAGCGCCGCGCTGATACCTCCTCAAATGCTCTCCGCTCGACCACGAATGCGATCATCTCCAGCTGTCCCTCAACTTCCCTGACCAGAGCGACATCCCGCGCGGGTCGGCATGCCGACCGTCGCACCCCAGCGACGACAACCACTCAGTTAGCGCTGAGCGAGCATTTCAACGCCCCGATCCGCCCCCATGTCTGGTACAGCAAGCGGCGCACCTGGTCTCGCGCGCAGCTAGATCAGGAGCGCAAGGAGTTCTTCGAGACCCGCGTCACCGGTCGGGCAGAGGTTTGGGCTGCCTTGGCCGCGGCGATCTCGTTCATGCATGTGAACGACCTGGCCACGGCGCAGAGTATCATCGATGCGGCGGGTGTCACTGTGCCCACGGGAGATCTTTGCCAGGGCTGCTATGATGAGCAGGGGGCACTTTACCGTCTGCCTCGGTGTATCGTGAGCGATCCAGAGAACATGGTGCAGGAGGACTCGGCCAGTCGCTGTGATGATGGGTACGACGACTTTGACACAGATGATTCCAAGCTGTCGTTGGACGAGGCATCAGGTGACGAGCTGATTGCCCGTGACTCTGAAGACCGCAGGGATGAGAAGGGCAAGATAAGCGAGCGCGACTTGATCCGGGTCACAGCGCGCTTGAGCGACAGCGGATCGGATGTTGTCGTTTCGGTCGGCAAGAACCAGACCGTGGGCTTGATTGCCCGCAGGGTGCAGCAAGAGGCCGGGGTATGTCTTGTCTTGTTTTTAGTGTCCAGTCTTCACCGAGCAAGCAGAATCCTAACGTCGTCTTTGAGCAGATCCCTGCAAGCCAGCGGGTAAGAATCGTCTACCTGGGTAGGATGCTCCGCGAAAATACGCCTCTTGTGAACCAGGGTTGGAAAGCAGGCAATATAATCAATGCCTTGGTCGTCGCCAGGCCTTCAGCCTCGTGAAAACCGTCCATCCATACCACATAAACAGCCCTATGTGGCCCTTCAACGACCTCTTGTTTATACTCGACCCTTGGAGTCGGGCTACTTTTTTTTATTATGACTTGACATCTCACCTTTATGCTGTTACGATATTTGCAATCTCGTGTGGCGTCCAGTGTTCAGCCGGTTCGCATAATACCCATTCGTCTTGTTCTCAGCTTGGTGTGGTGTTTTTTTTTCGTGTTCTTTATGCTGTGGTCTATCCTACTACCCTCTGGCGTCTTTGTCATCTGCCTGTTCTCGATTATTTCTTTGTTTTTTGTGCTTAAATCTAGTCTGATAGCATTGATGATCTAATCAATTTACCGCTCCATATTTACTATCTATGGTCATGGTATAGTAACAACATGTGCTACATGTGACGTGGGGTTGTAGGGTATATATATCCGCAAAGCGGGACGAAGGTGGATTGTTCCATTTACCGACCCACTAATAAGACTTTGAGATGGATCCAGATAGAGATTCTTTTTAAAAGCATTTACCCCAAACTCAAAGGGAAATGAAGTGGAAAAAATAAAAACGAAAAATACAATCGAGGGATGGCACAGGAGTATAGAATGAAAACAAAAAGAGAAATTTCCATGCATCATCCGTGAATCGAACACGGGCCTCGTCGATGGCAACGACGAATTCTACCACTAGACCAATGATGCTAGGTTATAATTTTCGTCATTAAATGAACTTAAGAGGAACGTCATGCAGAGCACCTCGACCACGAGCTTGCATAACTTACTCTAAAACGACCTGCCGTTCTCCGCTCTCCGTCCCCTAGGCATCTTCCCAGGTCTCCGCTTGAAAAGACGACATGCGACAGCGCCCTTGACGATAGCTGGCCACCGACATGGAATCATAATGATTGACACAATAGGATGTATTCCCCAGTATAAGCATCACTATTAGCACATTGCAAGCGTCTCCTCACTATTAAAGACTGTATATACCTGCTGTATCATGTTCAATACTCCTCGAATATGCCCTTCATTCCCAAGAAGAACCTGGCGTAACCACTCCACTCTCCTTGTTTGCATTTGAAGGGCTCTAAGTAACTGCCTGTTTTCTTCCTCTAGCTTAATCCGATGTCTTGTGGACTCTTCCAATTCCTTTTGAGCGTTCTGCACGGCCGCACGTAGTTCTTCTGCTTTCTGATCAGAGTGCATCCTGGAGATGTCAGGGCCGAGATGATCCTGTATTCGATCATTGGCATCATTAACCGGAACGGCCCATATTTCTCTTTTGCTTATTGCCCTTCTTATCTCGATATATGAGTTTGTTGACAGCTCGCTCAGCTGTTTTGCTAATAGGTGACGCTTAGCTTTATTGCATTGCCACCTATACTTGTCGCATTCTAACGGTTGTAGTCGCACTTCGGATGGGGCAATAGAAATGGAGAGCTCTGTTTCTATTCTCTGTTAGGAACAGGGACTTGCAGTTGCTGGTGCCCCACTCACGTAGGTACTCAGAAAGTGCTTCACGACATCTATCACGCTCAAAGCGGCGCTTCCTGTTAGCAGGATTAGACATACTCCTGTCTACAGAGCAATCAGCCACTCTAGAACACCAATGATAATCAGTTATCCTTTGGAATAGACATTTGAAAACATTTGCAGGTAGGAACTCACATGGATCCCTCTAAGATTCTCTCTTGGGTTATACCTAGGCTACTGATGCTGTGCACTACTTGATCTTTATAAATTGAGCTTTGAACACTGATATATGACCATGCGTTAGAACAAAAGCATACATTGCTCAGGGACAGGGGCGTAGCGTGAAGGAAGTGCTTCAGACGTCACTTGCTGTCAGCCCCCTGTGCGGCTTTGCCAGCATGAGCCTTGGAGGAGGCCGCGGGATGACCATGGATATCATGTGGGAGAAGCTAGTATTGGTAAAAAGGCTAGCAGAGAAGATTTGGCCTTGGGTATAGATGATTGTTGGGATAGCCTAACGACCACGGTGGCGTGGTTTCTGATTGGGTTTCTAACATTCCTCGAATAGGTGCGTATGCTGGAGTACCTCTGACATTTTCCTTCCATGCGCCTGTATATGCAGGTCAAAATCCGTAAACAGTATACAGTATATACGAAACCCAAATTCTGGCACCTTCTTCTAACAATCTCTTTTCTAGATCGTCAAGCCCCTAGGAAACAAGGATCTAAGAGGCTCGTCTACCGTATGGTTCAAATGGAAACAGGAATGCACAAATAGCAAGACCGCCATACAATGCACCACATATGAAGATGGGTCCTGTGGTTGCTGTGTTTGCAACGGTAGCAATAACAGCAGACATTACGCCCATAAGCCGACAAAAAGCCACTGCGATGCCATTGCCCGTGGCTCTATGAGCAGATGGTAGCACCTCGGCCGTATATCCATACAGTGCAGCGTAATATATCTCCAGAGTAAAAGATATAACGCAACTGTACGTGATGTTCTGAACCTGAGAAGTGACCTGAGAGTAGGCGAAGAAGAAGGCCACTACAGATATTTTGTTAGTGTGGATGACAGCACAGCAGCGTTTAGATGATGGAGTACTCACTGGTAATAACAGCACCAATAACCATCGTATAACGACGCCCTAAGCGCTTCCAATTTGCCATGTGACCACCGAGCATAGGCCCAAAGATACCACAGACTTGGACTAAAGCGTAATTTCTCCAAGTCTCATATGTACTGGTGACGCCGAACTGAATGCCACGACTGGCAAGATACGACGGCAAGAATACATTAAACAAGGGGTACGCGAGCCCAATCATAGACCACGATAACCAGATGAGAAAAGTCGTGGAGGCCAGCTCTTTCGTCATAAACAAACTCCGGATATGGATCCAAACTTCGCCGACGGAGAATCGAGACTTTGAGTGAGCAGAGCTGATGGTGCCACATGCTTCGAGCTGTTCCACGGTAAGGGAACATGGCCGGTCGTATTTCGATGCCAACCCTTGGAAATTCTCGACCACTTTGGAATCTTCGCCTTGTCCGAGAAGGAATTTCGGAGTTTCCTTGAGACGGATAATTGTGACTCGAGCAACACTCATGGCAAATATCATTGCTCCCATGGTGTACATCAGGTACCTCCAGCCGCTGTTGTTGGCCTTGGTGCAGGGTGTAAATGGTGCCGCAGTTGGGTCGGAACAGCTGTAGTTTGCTATGGATTCGTCTCACATTAGGAATTTTCTTCAGGTACAAGGCTAATTCACGTCTGAATTTTAGGATAGTAGGGGACTTACGCATAAAACCCCAAGCAACCAACCCTGCAGTCGTACAGCCAACTCCCCACCAAGCACCAAGCCAGATTACAAGCCATTGCTTGTTAGAGGGTAAATATTCCAAGAAGACCGTAGTGTCGAGAACCAAGTTTCCACCAGCACCGAAGGCTGCGAGGGCGATGAAGAATCCAAGCGAAACCCAGTTGGGTGCTGCACCGGCGACGATGGTGAAAACCGCACAGATGAATAGTGACACGTTGAAAGCGATTTTCCGTCCGATGATGTCAGCGCCCAAGCCCCAAAATAGGGCACCAACAAGCATCCCGATGTAGACTGCGATTGTGAGGCCCTTCTTGTAAGAAGGTTGAAATTCGTAGACTGCCTGGGTGGCGATGATCCCTTGGAGAGAAAGTTGCAAAGCGTCCACGGCATATCTTGTATAAATTTTAGTAGGGTAATAGGTTTAGAATAGAGACAGGAAAATGGCAAGTTCTTACCCAAAGCCATTAAGAAAGAACAGTTTCCAGTGATATGGTGTCCAGCCAATCTCGTCCAAGGTCTGTGCTATGTCAATTAGTCAAAACGAATCATCGGAGATTGACCTTCACATATGTGATCATCACGGACATTGTTCACAAGGTGCATCTTCCTACTCAGCGCAGGATCGAGGTCCAGAATAGCCAGGATCTCTTGCCCCTGATCAATGCTCTCGGGAGCTGAGTACTTCGCATTCCTCTCCTCATCATTGTTATAGCCCATCTGGGGGCTCTCCATCGCGACAGGGACTTCTCTAGACATGGAGAACGGCAGCGGAAAAGGATAATGTGTTATAGGGATCAAGAAAGGCAGTCCAAGCCACCCTTTATTAATGCTTCCTGGGGTCTTATCGCCCGATTGGGAAGGGCATGTAGGGAGAGACTAAATTATATTCGGTTGCAGTTTTGATACAAAGATAGGCTGCACTGTCACACGACCTTCCAACCTCCGAAATTCCGGAATATCTGGTTTATCTACTGCGTAGTACATAGTAGGGTATCATCCCGGTTTGATATCTATATGATTATATCTAGTTTAGACTTTAGACTAGGTGGAGACGGGACGAAGGCCGCCTTCGGAGATACCCCAACACTATATTATCTCTTGGTGCAGGACTCCATTCTTCTTGGGCATATCTTGAGATTGCGGGGTAGTTCTCCAGCCTCCTCCATCTATATCCAGTGATCCCCCAATTCCTTCTTCCCTGATTTTCTCGGAATAATGCGAAGGGGAAAAAACACTGGACCTTCCTCTTCGGGTATCCCCAGACCTTGTGGGGTCCGGGGCCGGGTTTCCTAGTTGCCCTGATAGTGATAGGCCGTGGCCGCTTAGCCATTTTAGCGATCGGTCTCCAAACTACTCCGTATCTATAGCAGAAAAGAATCAGGAAGCCTGTTTCCACCTTCGCCCTGACTGCGACGGTAATATCGATCGGATACTACCTGCCTGATTAGCAGTGGTTATTTTCCCGGCCGAGTCCGAGTAAGTGAGTGACTGTGTCTGGTAGTATTCACCGTCAACTTGGGTTACCTTCTTTAACGTCCTCTGGCCCACATCAGTCAAAATTCTTTTATAGAATTCAATTGTCGCCTGATTAATGCGGTTTGACTTGAAGCTCGAGTCAGAGACCGAGTGTTTCTCAGATGGCAATCTCTACCAGCTCTGCCGCGAATGGACAGGCAGATGGAACACTCGGAACTCGCAGTGATCCTTCCAACCTCCAAGGGCCCGCACTGGACTTGACAGTCCTGGGATTGAACAGTGGCACGTCTATGGTAAGCCCAGGCGCTTAAGCCAACACCCGTGGAGAGACCTAAGCTCTGGCCGCAATTTAGGACGGCATTGATTGCGCACTTTGTCGATTCCGCCAGCAGCATCCATCCGGCCCGGTGACATTTGAACTCCTAAAGTATGGCGAGACTCCTCTGGACCAGCAGATCAAGAGACGGGTGATGAACATGATTTTGCACAACTCAACATCACCCGAAGAAATTGCCGAGATCAATGTTATTCTCGGTGAGGCTTTCGCGATGGCTGTGGAGGAATTTACCACCAAGCATGGTATTGACAAATCCAGCATCGACGTCCTCGGATCTCACGGCCTGACGATATGGCATCTTCCCATGCCGAATGAGAACCAAGTCAAGACCACTCTCAGTATGGCAGAAGGGGCGATTCTGGCAGCTCGGACGGGAATTACAACGGTATCCGATTTCCGGATCAGCGATGTGGCTGCTGGACGTCAAGGAGCCCCGCTTATTGCATTTTTTGATGCCCTGCTTTTGCACCATCCTACCAAGCTTCGTGCGTGTCAGAATATTGGCGGGATTGCCAACGTCTGTTTTATACCGCCTGACAGCCAGGGAGGCGTGGATGAATGCTTTGACTTTGATACCGGGCCTGGAAACGTTTATATAGACGCCGCAGTTCGACACTTTACTAATGGCGAGTGGGAATACGATAAGGATGGTGAAATGGGGAAGCGCGGCCAAGTGGACCAGGAACTCGTGGATGAATTCTTGACACACCGATACTTTGGACTGGAACCACCAAAAACAACCGGCCGCGAAGATTTCCGGGATACTCTAGCCTTCGATCTCATTGCAAAAGCGCAAAAGAAGGGCTTGTCACCGGATGATGTTGTGGCAACCATTACTCGAATCACTGCGCAGTCGATCGTGGATCATTACCGACGCTTTGCGCCATCTCAAGATATAGATGAGATTTTCATGTGCGGCGGAGGGGCCTTCAATCCAAACATCACAGATTTCATCCAGACAAGCTACCCAAACACCCGCATCGTTTTGCTGGACGAAGCTGGTATTCCTGGGAATGCCAAGGAAGCGATTACATTTGCCTGGCAGGGTATGGAAGCTGTGGTGGGGCGATCAATACTTGTCCCAGCACGAGTCGAAACTAGAAAAGAATACGTGCTTGGAAAAGTGTCACCGGGTGACAATTACCGACAGGTGATGCAGAAGGGTATGCTCTTTGGTGGCGGAGGGAGAAAGCTTCATCCAGTCAAAGACATGATCAACGTTGTCGAGGGAAAGGTCTTTAATAATAAGTGGTAGTAAGTTCTAGAATAATGGCTCTGCAATAGAAGTTGTTATATGAAATTGAAAGCCTGGTAGGAGTGCTATGAATGGCTGGGAGATACGAGAGGGAATCGGACATCGAGGTCATCATGGAACTATATAAATGTTATCCTAGCTCCATGCTTCCACCAGCTCACACAGCGTCGACTCCCCGCCCACATTACCGGGGAACACAACAAAGGGAACACCCCGATGCCTGGACGTCGGCTCATCACATCGCCAGAGCGGCACGCCAGGCGCAGCCTGGCCGACGATCATGGCGCGCTTGATATTCAGCCCCTTGGTAGCGGCGTCGGAAGAGGTGATCCCGCCCTGCCAGCACCAACCGTTAGCATTTGTCACGGATATTGATATTTTGGGCTTAAGGCCTACCTTTGCAATGATATATCTCGGCCGCACCTCGATCAGCTTAAACCCTCACCGGCGCCTCCGCGACCTTCGCCCCGATAGCCAGACTGGAGAGCTCGTCCTGGCCCGTTATCAGCTTCCGACTCGTCATGACGAGCGTATCCGTGCCAGATCGCAGGTAAATTCATGTGAGCAACAATGAATTGAACTTTGAAAGCATCCTTAGTGACCTATACTATGAGGAATGACAATATACCACAGCCACCAGCATACATTTGGCTTTTTACATCATAGCCATCGACCAGACCATCCGCATGTTGATTGTAAAGCCAAAGTGGAAGAGCTTCAAATAAATAGCAGAGCACTGCGCAATTTTGATACTAAGCAAAACCATGAAAATACAAGGAACCTGGAAATAGAGGAGGTGATGAAAGAACTGAGAGATGACTATGCGGAGGGAGATATTTACCAACAGATACGCTTCCAAAAAAGGATATGGTTTTCATATTCTACATGTTTGTCCTTCTAGTGATGCCATTATCCCATGATATCATCCAAAGGACAGGCTGCCAGCATGTCCATATTGTTTTGCACAAGATCCCAAAGCGATACGTCGGCCGAGTTTAGGGGTCGATAGCCATTGTCAGATCTGCAGAGAAGTGCATTGAATTTCGAATAGCGACCTTCATACGAGAAATCTCCCCAAGCGAGTACAGCAAGGTTGGGAAGACCATCATCACCGAAGGCCCACATTGCGAATTCAAAGATATCGTCAGGTCCATACGGTGGATCTATTTGGATTTTAGATTTCATGTTTTAGTGATATCTCGAAAATCTGGGACAAATTTACCATCACCATATTTGAAATTAAATACCGGCGCAGGTGACCAGTTGCGCTGCTCATAGCTGGACAGCTTCTCCAGGACCACTCCACTCGCCCTTATATGTAACAGCTTGCATGATGGTCTGGGCTGCATTTTTCGTAATTGGCTGGCCTTGTGTCTCTGTCAGCAGTTATGCGAGTGTCAATATCCACAGTCAGTACATACTAACTCTCCAGGTGGTGTGGAAGATCCATAACAGGTCAATTGTCTTTCTTGCAGTACCTGTTCCAAACGAGAAGGCAAAGGTATACCTCCGTCGATGAGGTCTTGGCCACCTCGGTCCACTAAATGGTGCATGACAAAGCGTGTAAGATAACAACAACAACTGGACATTGCACTTGTGAGAGATGCCCAATCGAAGGGTTCGGGGAGCATGAGATAGAGGTTCTCTAATTGGGGAACTTGTTGAATAAACTTGCAGATTGTCTCCGTGATACGCATGTAATCATCCCTTTGAAGACAACCGAGGTCGAGGGCAATTTCGAAGGACTTTAGCTTCATTGATTGCCCAGAGCTAAGTACCAGCTGCAGCCAGTCAACTGAACCTGGGCAATCCCGTATTTTTAATGTGGTTAAGTTCTTGAGATTGAAAGAACGAAGCATTTCAGCTCCAGCACAATTGAATGAGACGGCCGACGGGTGAAGATGTTCGAGAGCTTGAAAACAATCCTTGTGTCCCCAGGTTGTGCATTCAGCACTTTTTGGGCGAAGAAGTTGTCGGGTACGCTTCCTGTGCTATGCCGGTGAAATCCATCGATCCAGGTCCCTTCTGCTCGATCCCAGTTCACAAGGTCTAGCGTAAGTGAAATAATTTGGTGGCCATGGACTCTAATGCAGTCTTTGACAGACTCGAAATCGCTATACCTGTTCAGGCCCTTCCAGACAAGTGTTCTCAAACCTTTGAATTGAACAAGGTCCACCAAGTATTGCGAGCTTGTGTCCGTACCACATTCGCCATCCGTGATAAGTGAAATGGATTGAATGTTTTTTTGGTTCCCGAGAGGGGAAAGCTCACTACCAGACAGTAGGGCTTTTGGAATGCATGTTCCAAGCTCCCACCTATGTCTGAGTAAGTCGTTGGCCAAAGCAACAAATGGTGTACTAACTGGAAACTTCGTAACTGATCATCGCGAAACTGCAAGGAATCTAAAGCATGAATCAACTTGAAGAAAGGGCCAGTGTGGTTGTCCTGTGCAATCTTTTATCATGTGAATATACAGAAAATAAGTGAGAATCAACATCAAATCAACATCAAATCAACATCACTCTGCTTACCTCCGCCATCTCCATGTCTGTATACTCGTCATCCGTACCGTCATCGTCTGTATTTTCAAAAAATAAATCGTCCTCGTCCATGAGTTCAGTGAGTTCTTGGCTGTTGCTGTCGCGGTGTACGCAGCGCGAGTCTACCCGTTCATGTATCGGAACCCTCAAGCCGAATTCTTGTGTATACTCCATGTATCTCCTGGGTATTGCCTCCACCGTCTTAGCTAACTGCTCTAATGACATCTCTGTGGCGGATAGGACAATAGACCGATAGAGATGGGGGATAGCGCAATCTCGAAGGCGAGTGCAGACTTCGCAGAGCTGTTTCAGATCCCTACGGCTAGCGATCTTCAAGGATAAGCATACAGGGCAGAGTTTCAGCGGATAACGGACTCACTTGGCCGACTACCATATCCAAAAGCTCTGACGGAAGCGTGTCCAGCATGTTTGCAGTTATCTCCCGCACCCAGCCTCTTGAGACGGGGATGCTAAGCGTAGAAAGCGAGTATGTTAGCAACAATAGATGCAGATTATTATGAATAATGTATGTTTGGAGCTACCTATTCCTTGTAACTTTACACAGTATATTCGCGCGAGTGGGGTTGTCAACCAAACACAGCTAATAATATGTTGTTTGAGCGGATCGTTTGAGTTCTGTGGGGTCGGGATCAGGTTGCGGCATGGGCCATCCCCTCTTGGCAAACCTCGACATGGTTCCACCATTACGATTGAGGTTATACTGTAAGTAGTTATGTTCCCAAACACTGGGCCACCTCTCCACCACGGTTTTTTCTTTATTAAGAACCAAAAGTCGGGATTGCTTTAGCTCATTACAACACGTCGAAAGTGGGATAACGTCAATCGGATGGATCACTAGTAGTTTACTATAAATGTGTCTGAACATCAATCAAGTGCTTAGATGATATTATATGGTTACTATTCACCAGGCAACTCATCACGGGTCGTTCACTTGCTGTCGGCTGGGTTGTATCAAAGACACTCAACCACCTGATATCGAGAACCTCTTAGGCCGAATGGTCGCTGTTCAGCAATGGCTGTTGCAATTCAGTGCTGAGAGCCTCTGTGATTCACTCATTCTTCTCAATCTTCGCATGCTTGGAGCAATGCTTGATAATCCAAGGAATGCTGGCGGACATTATCTAGAGAAATTCTCTGGTTCGCATCGAGAACAAGAAGCTTAAATGCTGTTAGGGTTGCACTGTTGGCTATGGGAGAGAAACAGTCATCTTACCTTTCTGATGAGGTCCTTTGCTTCAGAGCTAACAAAAGAAGGGATTGTCATATCTCCCCTCGCTATTCTTCTCTGAGTCATAACAGGTGTATCCTCAAATGGAGCTCTTCCAACCAGGAATTCATACATTAGGACCCCTAGGGACCATAAGTCAATATTCTGATCATAGGGCTTATCACACTTTCTCGGATCGACCATCTCTGGGGGCAAGTAGTCCAATGTCCCACATTTTGTGAGCCTGCGGCCACTCGGCGCGTGGACACTCCAGCCAAAATCCGACATCTTTAGCTCTCCATGCACATCCACGAGGATATTTTCAGGCTTAATATCCCGGTGAATGACATGCTTGCGGTGTAAGTACTGCAAAGCGTTCGCCATTTGCGCAATGTACTGTGCAGCCTTCCACTCAGGAAAACGGCCCTCTTTTTGCAAATGCTTGTATAGCTCACCCTTGCCGGCATATTCTAGTATCAAAATGATTCGTTTTCTGTCGTGAAAGTGACCGTAGAGCCGAAGAATATTGGGATGTCGCAGGTTACTCTGGATCTCAATTTCACGAGCCACCTGTTTTTCTACCCTTCCCTGCTGAATTTCATTCTTGTGGAGTACCTTCAAAGCACAAACAAAACCGGTGTCGCGTTCTCGAGCAAGGTATACTCGCCCAAACTTTCCCTTGCCCAATGCACGACCAACTTCGAACATGCCCAAATGAAACACTTTGGACTGCGGTTGCTTAGTAAGCCGGACAGTGTGCTGTTCCCGCTCGACAGCGGCGTTCGGCGCTTGCGATAGAACGGAGAGAGGGTGCCGAAGTTGGGAAAGTGATTCTCTGCCTTTTATTTGGGCTGCAAGGGAATGAGTAGGGCCTTGAGCTGTGGCTTGTGATTTGACATAAGTAGCCGCAAGCTCGTCTTCTTCATTGACAGCTTCATCCGATTCTTGAGACACAACAACAGAGAGAGGGTGTCTGGTCTTCGAAGAAGTCTGTTGTACTCTTGCTGGTGTTGTTTGGAGAAGATTGGTGACAGTGGTTTTGTAAGGAGCAGTCTCGGAGTCCTTTGGTTGCTTGCTTCTGTTCGACAGATGTGTAGTGGAAGTCGCAACCTAATCTCTGTGGTTAATTGTCTCCAAAAACTAGATATAGAGCTGTTTACAAACATACTTTGGCCTTTTGCTGCGGCTTAGAGGCAATGTGGTCACCGTTCTCATCAGCGATGGCCATCTGCTGAACCGAGCCTCGAGCGCCACAGCTTCCATAGTTGAATCTCTTAACGTGGCGCTGCTTCCATTTTTGACAGAACAAACGACGATTAATCCCTTTAGACAGAGATTGTGGTGTTGTGAGAACAATGTTGGGGGAATTGGTAGAAAAAAAATATATCAGCAGGTAGGAGAGAAGGATTGTTTGTGACATTTGTCGTGCAACTACTGAAATAACGCCGCAGAAGCATCTTGACATTGTCATGGCAACTGGCTGAAAGTATCACATGTGCTCGCCCTGCCGCAGATTGTTTTTAATTGCTACCCTGCAGAACCACGCAGTTCCCAATCGAAAAACAACAGATATGGGCCTTCGGGAGTTGCAGAATGATGCGCAGCCTTTTTCGTAAAAAGAGCTATGAACTAAAAATTAAGGCATTAAAGGCTTATATCAGTCTCTCAGTCATGGTCGTTTCTCTTAGTCGGATCGTCGCGGTTAACCCTCTTTTGTTGGCCGGCTATGCTAATAGTAGTCTTTCCATGGCTCATTCAAGTTGCTAAATCACACTCACCGCAGGTTGTGGAGACTAAGGTGGCGTAAGCTGCTAAGTGTCATATAACATTATTGAACTAGTAGCTCACCCTCACTGCTCTGCGTTGAGGGTGAGCCATAGCAAAACCACTAACCACACTAAATCTAACTATGTTTTCTTAACAAGACTGTAGCGGGCAAGGCCCGCTGTATGCTCGAGCCTATCAGCACTCGTGAACTGCCTCAGGCACCAACGACTTTTGGCTCTGGCTGATATACTCCGTACGTGACCCTGCAAAGTCATGTCCAAATTAGACACCAGGCCAGTTCCGGACCAAGTAGGGCCGAACCCCACTTACCCCTCGCGGCAGAAATAATAACCTATTCACATCCATAGTGCCCGCTGATATGAGGGCTTGACTCCGCTCAGACGTAAAATCTGGGGCTCCCCAACCCTCTACTAGCTTCCATATACCCAGTGGCTTCAGTGCGCTGCCTGGTCTATTTCCTCTGTTTGTATGGCTCCGAATTGCCCAAGGAGCCCCATTCATAGCATAAATTGGACTGCTTGGCTGCTTTGACTGCAAGCTTCGGCGTGGTAAAGATTGCTTTCAGGGTTCGCTTCTCCTCCAGGTGGATACTACCTAGGGAGGCAAGCTGCAGCAAGGCGTTGGAATTTAAATCCGCAAAAGCTGGCAATATCCATATCAGGTCACGTTCTGTGTCATTTTTTTAGGATTAATCAGAAGACAGAGGCCTGAAATCTTCCCAAGAGAACCTGCTCAGCGCTGCCGCGCCTCGCAGAATTAAGTTTGTCTACAGATCCTGCGGATCATATTGGGTTCAGAGCGCTACAATGCGAAGTGTGGAAAGTCACCGGAAAGGTGATTTCAGGTACTCTCAAGCGGCCGGCGCGCAGCGTCCTTGGTCGTCCCCAATGCAGCTGGCCGGCTATGGAGGTTAGTAAGATGGCATCCAACGTGGAAGAAACCGAGTCTACTACGTACCATAGTGCTACCTACATTAGCAAGGAATATCTGAAATGTACTCACAGTACTTAGCAGTAATTCTACCATGCGTAGGAATGCAGAATGTCCCCGCCGGAGAAGAGAAAGAGACGACGAGCTTGCTAGAAGGCCTCTGGAAGATAGCAAGATGGGCTCGTAGGCTGTAGCCGAGAGCCATGGACCGCACTTGTACCACCACTCCAACGCCCAGACCTCCGGAGGGCTGGAAACTGATGCAACTAAAAAGCTGGCAAGTCCACGAACAAAACACGCCCTCGCTTACCTAGTGCTATCAAGATTTTACTTGTGTCCTAGGTGGAATTGATTCTCTCTCGGAGATGATTAACCTATCAAGACTCCCCTCAGGATCACCATGACACATCCCAGTAAATTAAAGTCTCAATTATGAGCACCTAGCCATCACATTAACCATATACCAGCGCTGTCATTGGAGCAAGCGCCTAGAGTCCTGCGAATTGACCCCAATTCAGAATCCAGATGGGTCCTCTCTGTAAAATTTGAGCTCGCTGAACAAGATATATACTCTCGCAAAGGCTCCGTGTACCCCGCATATATGATGGCATCCATTTGGCAACGCCATTTTACCTCATTTTGGAGTCTCCGTCCTAGAGAGCCTAAACTACTCCGTAACTCTCTAGACCATCGAGAGAGCTTCTGCATGCATGGAGTCGTAGACGCTATTTGATATGACCTTGATAGAAGGTGTGTACCTCTATCTCTCTTCCTAAAGCGCGAATCATGGGGTAGATACACCGTACATGCATCGATAAACAATGCAATATCAATGCAAATAATGTATGCAAGTAGATGGTAGATACTCATACAACGTAGTCTAAATAATATGTGTGGTTGAGCAAGAAGAGCGAGGAAAACTAAAGTCATACCATCCGGTGGTGCTCCTAAATACCTTGGGTAAGGTAATGGAGTCAGTTCGGCGAGGCCACTGAGTCACAGGGTCGAGAAACATAACCTGTTAAAGCCCCACCGCCCTTCCTCCCCAGGGCACATGGGAAAACGGAGGGGAGTCATAGAGCAGGCCATCCACGTTCTGTTGGAAAGAATACACACGACCTGGAAACTGACGCCGTCCCATGTTGCCAGCGTCCTGTTTCTCGATGTCTCGGGTGCGTTTGATCATGTATCATATACGGAGTACGCTGCTTCACAATTCGGAAACAGAAAATTGATCGGGATACCATGAGATGGATCGCAAGCTTTGTCAGCAACAGAACAACAACTAACTATATGGATGGGCTACCGGTTCCAGCGTCGGGCAATGTGGCAATTACCATCGAGGCGAACGTTGAGGTGAATGTATAGGATCGTACGATGAAGGGTAACACGAGCACTTGCCGTTGGGAGGACTAATTCGCGCCGTTGGTCGGTTAATAGTAGGAGGCCAGCCATCGGCTAGAATCTAGCAGGGTATGTTGACGGGTAAGTTATCCATAATGATCGAAGTGGTCATTCGTAAGGTCAAGGTCAAGAACTGAACGTTGAGTTCGACACCATCAAGGGTGTCCATTCGTTCAATGACCAGTTCAATGACCAGGCCATTGACACCAGAACCCATCGGGAGGTGCCTGGGAAAGTTCGATGCAATGCGAGCCAGCTCTTCCCTCTGCTCGCGGCGTATGCTAAAGCACAATTCTTTCACCTGCTGCCAAGTCTGGTCGACGTATTGATTTTCCTGTCCGATATCCTGTATAGTGTGATTGACAGATATCGACCGTTGTATCCTCATGGGGTTCACCATTCTCATTCATGATAGAACCCGCAGGATTGACATTAGAGACGATAATTTATGAGGCACGCTCATTGGGAATGAGTATGGTTTGATGATTGTAAATCCTGTGACGCCGGAGAGCGAGTCCAGTCATTTCGAATGCAGCCTTGAGTTCATCTAACTTGAATGTGCGGACTGCAAGACAACTCAGGTATCCTGTGCGTGTCAGCATAGGAGGGTCTAGAATTGCTAGACGTAGAATGAGAACGCAAGCAAAAATAAACTGTCCCAGTTATTCGGCAAGCATGATTAATTGTAGCGCAGCCACAGAGGTAAATAGGAGCGGAGTGGATAGAAGAGGGCATCTAATCACCATTGCTTCTTAGTTTTTACTAGGAGCTTCATTGTCGGTACTCCTTTCCGCATAGGCATCATAAGTATCATAAACAAGTACTCTACTTATTGTTATGACAGATGATCATTAGCATGAAGGGAGAGTTGAGTACTCCGTACTCCGTAATAGAGGATGGTTAGTGACGTTGATACCTGAGGTGTCAATCAGACAGGTACAATAAGCTTCTCCAATTAGAATCCTCAAGTCTATCTCCGCCCAGAAATCCCCACCATACAAATCAAACAAAGCAAACACAGACAAAAGAAAAAAAAAGAAACATGGTCAAGGCCGCATCGACATTGAAGAAAAGAAAGAAGAATATACGCCATTGCCATTAAACGAGTCGGACCCGATCCTACCTTTTTCTACATGAATAAAACCAAAGCATAGATCATCAATCATGAGCAATTTGCAAAAAACTCCTTTTGTCAAGGAGCTCGCCTCCAGCGGTATGTCCATGGAAATACCGAACGCTGTATAGCTTCACTTTACCAGTCCGAACACCTTAACTAACAAGCCCTCTATCCAAACAGACAGGCGCACACGCGACAAGGCAACCGAATCCCTGACCCTCTTCCTCCGCTCCAAAACTGACCTCACCCTCCTCGACCTCCTCAAGCTCTGGAAAGGCCTCTTCTTCTGTACGTCCATTCCCGCCCTCAGCCTCCAGGAACTACTCAGTCAACTAACCATCCCCCAATCGCACAGGCTTCTACCACTCCGACCGTCCCCTCACACAACAAGCCCTTGCCCGCAACCTCTCCTACACGCTCGTCCCGACTCTCCCGCGGGAGACACTCCACCGCTTCCTGCGCGCATTCTGGATCACCATCGGCAGGGACTTCCACTCGCTGGACCGCTTGCGGCTCGATAAATATCTCTACCTGATCCGCTGCTACGTAGGCGTGGCATTCGAGATCTTCCTCAAGGGGAACAAGGGGGAGCAGCAGCAATCCGCACACACCAACGGAGCCAGCAAAAAGCGCAAGCGCGAAGAACAAGCCGCGGCGGGGAAGAAGAAGCGCTCGAAAGCAGACAAGGAGGAAGAAGCGCGTGATGAAGCGGATGCGGAGGAGGGACAGGATGGCGAGGGTGACTGGGCCGAGCTCGAGTCATATATCACCATCATCGAGGAAGGGCCTCTGTGTCCGCTCAATTTCGACCCGGATCAGCCCCCTGCCGATGAGAAGAACCCGAACTATGTGCCTATGCCCCATGGCCCGGATGGGCTTCGCTACCACTTGCTGGATATCTGGATTGATGAGATAGAAAAGGTGCTTGAGTTCGAGGAGGGGGAGGCACAAGATGGTTCTTCGCGGAAAGTCAAGGGTCAGGTTCCCAT